TGTAATAACTAAATTATCTCCAGACAAGAAAAAATATAATTTTACAGACACCCCAAAAGTACCCCCAAAACTCATGGAAACCCCACAGCAGTTATATCCCTTGATAGCCCCAATCTGGGTGACCAAAATATCCAAAAATCACTCAGATCGGTTCAGGGGTTCGGGATTTTCATGGAAGTCCTTTTTCTGACCGACCGCACACGAGGTTCCTGTCCAAAATAGTTCAGTAGATTCAGGCTGTGCGGTCGGTCTTTTCTGGAAGTCTAAAACATGACAAAATACTGAAGATATCAGTTCGTATGAAAGCGGGTCATGTGCCCTCGTTCGGGAATTTGGTTCTACCGAACGTCGTTCCAAAGACTCGAACTGAACCAAACGTTCTTGAGGCTGGAAGTCCCAGCGGTGTTTGCGCTGTCGTGTGGACGATTTTAGTTCGATGCACCCAACGACAAAACACTACTGTAAGCGTTCACGTAGATAAGATGGCCGCGGCCTCGTGTTCGGCCATACGAATGACGGCCACCCAGCCAACCACTTAGAATGTTATTAGGCTGCGGTTTCTGCAAGTGTGAAAAATGGTCAGGAAGGTGAATAGGCGACAAAAACCGGTATGGGTCGTCTGACCGTTCAGTTGTTTGTTCGGTATATGAAATGGGTAGGTTTCAAGTATTCAGTTAGTTCGTATACCGAATAATTCAGGGCAGTACAATTAAAAGAAACAGAAATTTTTTAACAGGGTGCAATCCATGGAGGTGGCATCCATCACAGTATATATCAACTTTTACTCTTGAAATTTTTTTTTTTAATAGAATGTATTATAAACATAATAGATTAAAAAATGAAAAACTAAAAGAACATATTGATGAGATAGTGAGGGAGGGAAAAACAGAGGGAAAAATATATCGCAATGGAATGTTTATTTTTGTTAACATAATATGAACTACTGTTTCTTCTGCACACTATTCATAATATTGGTTTAATTTTTTTTTAATATCCAGTTAGTTCCTGTTATTTTTTTTTGTTTGTGATTTGAAGATGTGTTTTGCTATATCTTATAAATGGGGAGCTGGGCTGTTTGTGAGTACTGTATTCCACCTGTGTTATCGTTACACCTACAGAAACATTAAACGTCACGCAGATTGGATGCACAGCTGCCTTCCCCCATCTGCCTTCTAGACCCAGCTGGTATTAGCTGTCTGGTTGAACTGGCTGTCACCAGATTAGCTCAAGCAACAATAGCTGTTATTGGAGCAGATTTTTAGTTCCTTTCACTTTCTCTCATAGAGAGACTCACAGAAAAAAACATATCTTCACAAATACCAGGATGACTTATTCAGTGTGAACAGTGGCGTCTCTAGGATTCATTTTTGGGGGGGCACATGGAGGGCCAGGGACAAAAATAGGGGGGCACATTTAACCCCGCCCTCGCCGCAGTTTGACCCCGCCTCTGTTGCATGCTAAGCCCCGACACAATGTGTTTTGTTTTTTTAATAATCCCTTCTGGAGGATTCATTATTTTCCGCCAGGGATTATTAAAAAACAAACACATTTCCCTTGATACAGTGCCATAGTTGCCAACATTTGAAAAAAATTTCCAAGGACATTTTGCAGCACAGCTATCAATTACTGTCTGGGTATAATATTCCTGGACAGTCAGTGCTCTCTGTATAATACAGGGCTGTGTGTATAATAAATTGGGACACTCAGTGCTCCCTGTATAGTGCTGCTCTCTGTATAATACAGGTCTGTTTGTGTATAATATCCCAAGACAGAGAGCAGCACTATACAGGGAGCACTGACTGTCCCGGGATATTATACAGGCACAGGCCTGTATTATACAAAGAGCAGCACTATACAGGAAGCACTGACTATCCCGGGATATTATATACACACGGATCTGTATTATACAGATAGCTGAGCATATACCCCATTTCCCAATCCCTAGACTACTAGGACCTGTCAACAGCAGCTCCCAGGGCTAAAGTGTGCGGCAGCTCACACAGGTGATTCAGTGGTAAAGTGCACTCGCTGACAGAGCCAAACTGGGAATCCCTGGGAATCCAAAGCAGCCCTGGAAAAAAATTTTATGCCATTCCTACAAGTCAAAATACATATATATTACAGTAAGCACATAAGCTCACTGACATGCGCAAATAGGCTCACTGACAGACAAAACTCTCTGACTCACACACGAGCTTACTACAGACAAACTCACTTGTATAAACAGAAGGCTCACTACAAAGAAGTTCAGGGACACACACACAAGCTCACTAAAGACAAGCTCACTGACACACACATGCTCACTAAATAGAAGTTTACTGACACACACAAGCAGTACCATTTTAACAGAGTTAAAGGACTACTATAGTGCCAGGAAAACATACTCGTTTCCTGGCACTATAGTGCCCTGAGGGTGCCCCCACCCGCAGGGCCCCCCTCCAGCCGGGCTGGATGGAGAGGAAAGGGGTTAAAACTAACCTTTTTTCCAGCGCTGGGCGGGGAGCTCTCTTCCTCCTCTCCTCCTCCTCTCCTCCTCCTCTCCTCCTCTTCGGCTGAATGCGCACGCGCGGCAGGAGCTGCGTGCGCATTCAGCCTGTCTCATAGGAAAGCATTTATAATGCTTTCCTATGGACACTTGTGTGTTCTCACTGTGATTTTCACAGTGAGAATCACGCAAGTGCCTCTAGCGGCTGTCAATGAGACAGCTACTAGAGGATTTAGAGGCTGGATTGACCCATTTATAAACATAGCAGTTTCACTGAAACTGCTATGTTTATAAAAAAAAAAAGGGGTTAATCCTAGCTGGACCTGGCACCCAGACCACTTCATTAAGCTGAAGTGGTCTGGGTGCCTAGAGTGGTCCTTTAAGGGTCCCCGGGCAAAGCAATGCACTGGGGCCCTTCCTACACAACAACTCACAGGAATTTTAATTATTGATAGACTGCTGAGTCCATACACACACACACACACACACTGCTATGAACACACACACACCAAACCTACCTGTCACTGGAGGCTGTTGCTGGGGGTCAGACAGCCATCTTCTGCAACAGCATGGTCTGCTGCTTTACGTCAGGGGCGGGGCTTAAGTTCGGGAGGCGTGGCTTGGTTTGGGGCGGGGCCTGTGCCGGGCAGCCTGTCAGTGCTCCTTCTGTCCCCAGCACCGTTCCAGCCCCTCTCTCCTGCATTCCCTCGGGCTGTCACACACTGTTACTGTTACTGCCCGAGGGACATGTAAGAACATGGACAGCAAGTTGCCGGCATTTGGGGGGGCCCAAGGGGGGGCACAGCATGATGTAGGGGGGCCATGGTCCCCTCTGCCCTCCCCCCCCCCAGCGACGCCACTGCTGGGGAAGTATGGGCTGATGTTGAAAGCTTTATCTTAAATAATGGCACATAATCCTAGTTCCTGATTCCCAGTCCGTATAACCGGGGAAGTAGGGACAAATAATAAAAGTTTAATCGTAAATAAAGGCAAAGAGTCCTCCCAAAAAAAATCGTTAAAAACCCACTTCTTCATAAAAGTGTATCAATTAAACTGTTAATAGCTCCTGACTGATTCCTCTTCTGCAACTGTCACTAGTCTAATACTATCCTTACCTTTTTGTGTCATTTTACCCCACTCCCTCTAGCATGTAAGCTCATTGAGCAGGGCCCTCAATCCCTCTGTTCCTGTTTCACTATAATATGTAAACTCACTGAGCAGGGCCCTCAACCCTTCTGTTCCTGTGTGTCCAACTTGTCTGCTTACAACTACATGTCTGTTCGTCCACCCATTGTAAAGTGCTGCGGAATTTGATGGCGCTATATAAATACCATAATAATAATAATAATAATGTAAACTCACTGAGCAGGGCCCTCAATCCCTCTGTTACTGTGTCTCTATACCCCACTCCCTCTAACATGTAAACTCACTGAGCAGTCCCTCAATCCCTCTGTTACTGTGTCACTATACCCCACTCCCTCTAACATGTAAGCTCACTGAGCAGGCCCTCAATCGCTCTGTTACTGTGTCACTATACCCCACTCCCTCTAACATGTAAACTCACTGAGCAGGCCCTCAATCCCTCTGTTACTGTCACCATACCCCACTCCCTCTAACATGTAAGCTCACTGAGCAGGCCCTCAATCCCTCTGTTACTGTCACTATACCCCACTCCCTCTAACATGTAAACTCACTGAGCAGGGCCCTCAATCCCTCTGTTACTGTGTCACTATACCCCACCTCCTCTAACATGTAAGCTCACTGAGCAGGGCCCTCAATCCCTCTGTTACTGTGTCACTATACCCCACTCCCTCTAACATGTAAACTCACTGAGCAGGGCCCTCAATCCCTCTGTTACTGTGTCACTATACCCCACTCCCTCTAACATGTAAACTCACTGAGCAGGGCCCTCAATCCCTCTGTTATTGTGTCACTATACCCCACTCCCTCTAACATGTAAACTCACTGAGCAGGCCCTCAATCCCTCTGTTACTGTGTCACTATACCCCACTTCCTCTAACATGTAAACTCACTGAGCGGGGCCCTCAATCCCTCTGTTACTGTGTCACTATACCCCATTCCCTCTAACATGTAAACTCACTGAGCAGGGCTCAATCCCTCTGTTACTGTCACTATACCCCACTCCCTCTAGCATGTAAACTCACTGAGCAGGGCCCTCAATCCCTCTGTTACTGTGTCACTATACCCCACTCCCTCTAACATGTAAACTCACTGAGCAGGACCCTCAATCCGTCTGTTACTGTGTCACTATACCCTACTCCCTCTAACATGTAAACTCATTGAGCAGGCCCTCAATCCCTCTGTTACTGTCACTATACCCCACTCCCTCTAGCATGTAAACTCACTGAGCAGGACCTCAATCCCTCTGTTACTGTGTCACTATAC